CGCCTTTCGGTGGAAGCGGCGGTCACTCGCGCGGCGGTTATTACGGCCAAAACAACGCGCAGACACCTGTCATGACACCCAATAACATGTCTACGCCTCGCAATTACCAGCAAAACACTCCGGGATCGATGGGTCCGCCGTCGCACATACCGTCGTCAAACCCGAGACCGGGCTCTCGCTCTGGCAACCAATGGGGGCAAATGGCCTCCGACTGGCAAAACAATGTTAAGCCCAAAATCAAGCCGCGGACGCCCTCTTACAACACTCCAGGCGCCTCCTCTCAGATGTCTATTAGTCCGACACAGAATACACCCAATCGTGGAGGAGATCAGACACCACTTGAGGACGAGTGGTAATCAGGCTTTGAATCCGTTTTAATGCCATTCAATCATCACTTAATCCTATATTTTAATAATTATGAGAACCTTTTAAACTATAAATCATTGATAATTATATTTCATTACAAAAAGTAAATGTTTTCTCTTAAATAAAATCATTATTATTATTGTGTGAAACAATTTTAGTGTTTTTGTCTCTATTTTTATTTCGTTATCGGTTTTACATTAATTGTGTTGCTATTTGAGTCTTATTTGATATCACATGACTGTAAGAATACTATTAATTAATTGTCAAAATATACAATCTTTGTATCAACTCATTAAGTATTCATCAAATATTATTTTTCATACTAAAAATACTTCAAATTTACAAACTATAGACGATGTGAATTAACTATTAACAAAGTTGTAATTTACAACTTGTAAACTTGGTCAATAAATAAAAAGTTGATAACAGTAATATTGCCGCTCTTTTGCCATTGCCTTCCCGTTTGGGCACATTTTATAAAACACGTGTTTGACGTTTGATTGATTGTGTGGTTTGTGAACACAATGCACTTGTATTGCGTTAAATCAATGCCAATTCAATCAACTCTTTTACAACACTGTATTTAGAAATTGAATTGAGAGTTGCAGTGAAGTGTATGATAGAGGGAAGGCGTTGAGTGCTATGACATTGAAAAGTATGGCACAAACACGTGATTTCCATGCAATCAAATGTTACAAATTGTGGTCCACTTTATAAATGCGTTAATTGTTTATAACAAGTAGTGTTGACACCAAAGGATGGCCAGCAGTCGACGGCCCGAACACTCGGCTCCGCCCGAAATCGTAAGTCACGGCCACACGAGTGACAGATCCGTTAGGTCTTTGATTTGATCCTAAAACTCATGTTTTATTTGCCAACAGTTTTACAGCGAAACCGAAGCCATTAAATACACGACAAAGTAAGCGATCACTTGATCCGTATGCCATCCCATGTGTCATGTGTTTTACTAATTGATCTTTGATTTAGTTCCCGAATGATCGCAATTCAGGCGCAGATGAGTGAACGAGCGATTGAATTGATGGCACTTCCAGAAGACGAACCCAAACTTATACTCGACTTAGGGTTTGTTTCACTCAATGGCCACACAATCGTTGGCCCACTTATTGAAGGGACAGTCAATTGATTTACGAAACGTCGCTTTACAGGTGTGGATCAGGTCTTAGTGGGCAAGTGTTGGAAGATATGGGCCACACGTGGATCGGTTTGGACATCAGTCGAGCGATGCTTAACGTGTGCCGAAGCCGTGAACCCGAATCGGGAGATATATTGTTGTCTG